GGCGGCCCGGGCTGGGTTAGCCCGGAGCTGCCTCAACCCTGGAGCGGCCCGCCTTCTCCAGGAGCTTTGATGGGACCCACCGCCGGGATCACCTCAGAGGAAGGGGACTGGGGGACGCCGGCTCTGCCCGCGTCTCTGACTTACGCGTTTGGACATGGCTGTTTTCTCCGTGTCATGAACTCAAGTCTGCTCCCTGTTCGCTCCCTCTCCATAACGTTATGCATGAGAAATAAAGAGTTTACAATCGGGGAAAATAGGTTTTCAAAATGCTCCACAGAGCGGCAGAAGCAGGTGTGTGATGCCCATAAACTCAGCTCACCATCCTGCATTGCCGGGCACCCTACCAGCCCACTGCTTGGGTGGCAATTGCCCTGCACACGCCTTGGGAGACTCAATAGCTCTTTGTCTGTCAAACGATCCTACCTCAGGTTTAAAGAGCAGATAAAAAGCATTAAAAAGCCCACAACATTTATTGCAGCATCACAAATCAAAAATATGCTGATTTAGTCCTAACAAATACTCAGTGTCAGCAATGACGGGCTGAGAGAGCTCAGCCTGGAGAAGGCTCTGGGGAGACCTTATTGCGGCCTTCCAGTACCTAAAAGGGGCCTACAGGAGAGCTGGGGAAGGACTTTTTACAAGGGCATGTAGTGACAGGACGAGGGGGAATGGCTTCAAACTGGAAGAGGGTAGATTTAGATTAGATATTAGGAAGAAGGGTGGGTTTTTTTGAGAGTGGTAAGGCACTGGACCAGGTTGCCCAGAGAGGTTGTTCAGGCCCCATCCCTGGGGGTGTTCAAGGCCAGGCTGCACGTGGCCTTGGGCAACCTGGTCTAGTGGGAGGTGTCCCTGCCTGTGGCAGGGGGGGTAGCACTAGATGATCTTTAAGGTCCCTTCCAACCTAAACCATTCTATGATTCTATGATATTTCAGCATTCGCTCCTGAAACTCCAAAATTTCTAGGTTATCAGGAAGCAAGCAAACCAAAGGCGGTTCAAGGTAGACTAATGGCAATGACGCGTGTGTGTATTCCTAAACAGAGGTCTGAGTTTGGCTATTATATTCTGCTTTTCTGAATGATTTTACATATATACGTAAAATCTTGAAAATGGTCTCTTGAAACTGCTCAGGGCTAATAGCATTGGACTCCGAAAAGTGGTGCAACTTCTTTCGGACAGAAGAGCAAATGCAGAAAGCACGCATGAAACGCTGATGCTATTCCTAAGTATGTATGCACACACATATACCCAAATACTTTCCTGTGCCACTTGGCTAACAGAAACCTCACCCAAATTACAGCTTCTTCATGAGAGAGCTTCAATCTCAAAAGGTACTTTCAATTTTGGTCTTCATTACTTTTCTCTTGTTAAGGGAAACAATACAGGAAATTGAACCTTATCATCAAGGAGTCATGAATTTTGGAGAGAGCTTCTGGTTTGCATTTTGAAATACTGCAAATATGTTTATAGAAAAGCATTCAAAAAAAAAATCACCTGCTTGGAGAAAACTGCAAGCTGCGAAAGGACCACTTGCGTCAACGAATGTACTCTTTTCCAACAAGCAATTTAATCATGAAATGCCTTAAAAAATTACCAATCTCCAACTTGTTTTTGTCTCCTGCCGTTCCCACTGTCACGATTTTTCAGGACACACAGCAAGCCTTGTGATTTCCAGCCTGAAAATTCACGCAGGCCCTATTTTATATCTATGGCCCTTTAGCTCCTCTCCCTTCCCCATCTTTACTCTGATGTATTTTACAGGCCGAAATCACACTCCCTCTCAGCTTATGTTTTGCTGTATGAGACAAGCTAGCCTCCTTTAGTGGAAGAGAACTTTAAAGATGTTTTTATTTAAAAAAGAAATTTCACAGCTATGGAATTCGCAGAATGTCCTTCCTCTTCCTAGCAGGGCAGCATCGGCATGATGAAATACAGATGACACACTTCTCTCTGCCCTCCTGCCTATCTCTCCTCCAGCTTCTCTTCCCCCACCCACATAAGCGCAGCTCAGGGGATCCACGCATGGCTCTGGCGCCATTTGCCGGCACCCAAACAAGCTGTAAAATAAATCACGCAACCTAATTTTAGTCACGGCTGGCAAAGCTAACGCTGCTGCTATCCTCACGCCTATAATTTGGCTCAGAGAAAAATGCTTTGGAGGCAGAATTGTTTAATTACTTCAAAGGCTGTTGGCCGACGAAGGCTCGACAGGCTTCCAGCTGGAAACGGCAGAAGGGACACTCTCCATGGCAAGATTGCCTCCAGCTTCTGAAACCACATCGAATTCCAAATGTGGTCGAGGTCTCGGCTTACTCGTGTCCAAGGGGCAGCAAACTTGGCTGTGCCCACCGCCGCCAGAGGACTTCGGCACCTTTGCTCTGCCTAACCATTGAAAACTACCACAAAACTCTTGAGATTTGATTCTTCTTTCCATTTTTTGCAGTGCCTCTGGCAGAAACTACAGCTGGCAGTAGGAGCTCTGCAGGCGAGGGCACTGCGTCGCCATCACCAGGTCCGCTGTCAGCAGCACACCACACAACCTTTTGATCCTTCTCTGTTTTGGTTTTTATTGTAAATTTTATAACGACTTCGCTATAGAAGCGAGCATTTAATATTACGAATCTGAATATTCACAAATAAATACATTTTAAATAACCGTGGCAGTACTAAAAGCGCTCCGCTCAATGCCTCTCAGCGTCGCTCTGCCCCTTGACGCTGGCAGCGCGCTGAGGGCAGCGAGGACGCGGCGGGGAGCACCGCCAGCACCTGCGGGCTCCGCTACCCCAAATCACCTCCTGTCCTTCCACAGGGCTCTCCCGGAGCATTCCCGTCACGGGTAACCTCACTACGGGCAGAGGGGAACCAAGAGAAACCTGGTGCAAATAAAAAACCCGGACCTCTGTCCCTC